ATTTCTCCACTGATCTCCAGTAGCATATTGGGCACCTACTGACCTGGGGAGTTCCTCTTTCAGTATCCTATCATTTTTCCTTTTCATACTGTTCATGGGGTTCTCAAGGCAAGAATACTGAAGTGGTTTGTCAGTCCCTTCTCCAGTGGACCACATTCTGTCAGACCTCTCCACCATGACCTGACAGTCTTGGGTGTCCCCTCACGGCATGGCTTACTTTCACTGAGTTAGACAAGGCTGTGGTCCTGTGATCTGATTGGCTAGCTTCTGTGATTATGGTTTTAGGGTGTCTGCCCTTTGATACCTTCTCACAACACCTACTGTCTTACTTGGGTTTCTCTTACCTTGGACTGGGGTATCTCGTCACGGCTGCTCCATTAAAGCGCAGTCGCTGATCCTTACCTTGGACGAAGTCGCCCCTCCTGACCTTGAACATGGAGTAGCTCCTCTCGGCCCTCCTGCCCCTGTGCAGCCGCTGCTCCTTGGATGTGGGGTTGCTCCTCTCGGCCACCGCCCCTGACCTTGGACGTGGGATAGTTCGTGTCAGCCGCTGCCCCTGACCTCAGACATGGGTATTATGTGCCCTCAAATAGCGGGAGCTGAGCCTACAGTGAACCCTACCTGAGGAGTTGTTAATCATGAGAATTATTACTATATTATATATTATTATGTTTTTAAATAGATAGCTCTTGAAAAGACTGATGAACAAATATTTGTTACTCTAGAGAATAGTACATGGATCTCGGGCATCTTTGTCAGAGGCCACAACATATAATGGTTCTTTGTTATGTAATGTTATTTATGGTTATTAAATAACAACAAAATAATGGAGTGAGTATTGTTAAAACAAACCATCACCTTTAAAAAATATAACTCAAAAATCAAAGTTTAATAATCAAAATTAAACCATGATATGTTTAAGCTTATAAATATATACTATCCTCTCTAAAATTTTCAAATATTTTCCAACATTAGAAAAGACAATGATATGAAGAACTTAAAATTTCACACTAACAGAATCATTTAGGTTTCTTTTGTAATTTAAAGCATAATACAAATGAAAAAAATATCCTTCTTCAGTGCTTGAAACTTCCTGGTTTAGTAAACTATAAACACAGAAGAAATAAAAAATTCTGAATGGTTTGTCACACTTGGTTACAGGAGGTAATGGAATATAGTAAAATAAATTTACTCTTTGTTATGCTTTTGATTTATAATACAATATTAAATATAATAATTTCAATAACAACTGCCTAGAATATGAATATTATTATGTACCATCCTTTTGGGCACTTTTTTTTTCATGTTATCTTCCCAAAATAGCCATAAGAAGATGTTAATGTAGCAAAAATTAAAATAAACCATGCACACAATATTCTATATTTGTTTAGAGAAAGGAAATATATTTGACTTGCATGAACATGAAAATATCTTTGGCATAGACCTTGAAGGATTGTTGCATTTATCATAAGGCAATGGGAAATTAGAAGCAGGGGAATTTCAGTTTGCAAGCTGGCTAGGGACTGAGTCCGAAAGTCAGAAAGTACTGTGATGGTTTGAAGTGCTTTGATAAAACTCTTATCATAATGAATTTTCCTATTTAGATGAAGAAACATCTTCCTTTATTCTCTTTTCTAACATTTTATTATATTTATATTATATTATATTTCTAACAGTTTATTATATTTATTGTTTAGTTGCTAGGTCATGTCCAACTCTTTGTGACTCCAACACACCAGACTTCCTTCTCCTTCACTGAGTCTGCTCAAATTCTTGTCCACTGAGTTGGTAATGCTAACTAATTATCTCATCCTCTGCCACACTTTTCTCCTTTATTTTTGTTGTTGGAATTTTCTACTCCAAAGGTTCTTCCTGACCCAGGAATAGAGCCTGTGTCTCTTGCATCTCCTGCATTGGCAGGTGGATTCTTTATCACTGTGCCACCTGGAAGCCCTTTCCTAAGATTGGAAAGATTTAATTTCTGTAGATTAGGACCAAATAATAATATCCTTAAAGAATCAAAAATATATCTAACAGATTTTTGATGGTCCCATGGCACCTTTGGGTGAAAATTTTAAAAACATAACTATGAGGCTTATAATATTTTATTTTTCTACATGATATTCTGAAGTCAATATCTCTTTACTTGTATAAATAAATTTTGTATAAATATTTGTATAAATAAATTTATTTGTATAAATAAATTTTATATCTCTGGATTCCTCTGATAACTCTTTTACTTTATTTCTTTTGAATTAATTCATACTTTTAATGGATAATCCCACCAATTTGGAAGTCAGAAACTGAATATTACAGGCAGAGAAAATTAATAAAAATAAATTTTGAAATAAAAATTTGGATGACCTCATCATTACATTACTGCTGCTATATGTAAATACAAAACTTTGGCAAAACCCTTAAAGAGGCAATGTTTCAAAATCATCAGATATGTAGTGACTAGAGAGCTAAACAAAAAAGCTAGGCATTTTGTACTTATTTTATATTTTAAACATGTTAAACAAATGTTTTCTTATTAAATGAATTTGAAGCAAACAAATGAATACTTTTTCTTAATCATTCTCTCCATTTTTCAGGTGACACAAAAATCTACCATTCATGATGTTAAGCAGAAATTTCACAAAGCATGTAAGTTTTATATATGATTTTGAATTTATATTACAGTCTTTTTCTCAAATTGGTTCAGATTTACCTATAAGAATAAGTTCAATAGTATGATGGAAAGAGAATGTGGAAATCATATTTTTATGTGGAACTCAGAAATAATACTATGCTAAACACCCCTTCATCGTGAACATTTTCATATCTACCTCTTCTCACGCTTTAATCTTCAAAACCCAAAGTTTATTTGAACTTTTCCATTCTAACAAGAAACATCCTATATGTGAAAGTCATTAATCAATATAAGGTATTTCTTTATATTTAAGCAAACATAGAACATTTTTTTTTACTTCATGTATTTATACTGATTAAATATCTATCACATAGGAATACTTAAAAATTGCATTTAAATTGTTATTTAATTTTATTAGTGGCTAGATTTTCCTCATTAATAGATATCCTATTATTATTTCTTCCCAACCCAGGGATCGAACCCAGGTCTCCCACATTGTAGACAGACACTTTGCCATCTGAGCCACAGGGAAGTACTATTATTATTTATAGGGAAATATATATATGTATATATATATGAAATTTGTTTAATTTTTATTGTTATAACTTTTTGATTAGTTTACCTATAATTGTTAACATAGTGATGATGCCTATAATTACTAGTTAACAATTTTTAATGAACTTCATTTTTAGTGCATTTTTAGATTCACCATAGGTTTTTCAGAAAGTACATAGAGCTCCAGTGTTCCCCTGCCCCGCACATGGACAGCATGCATGCTCTGTCCCAGTCGTGTCTGACTTTTTGGGATCCCACGTGCCCTTCTCTCCATGAGATTTTTCCAGGCGAGAATACTGGAGTGGGTTGTCATTCCTCCTCCAGGGGATCATCCTGACTCAGTGATCAAACCCTCATCTCCTGCATTGAAAGTGGATTTTTTATGCTGGGCAAACACAGAAGACCATGGGCAGCATTCTCCACCATAACATTCAGAAGAGTACATTTGTTATACTCCCTGAACCTACAATGACACATCATTATTGCCCTAAGTCCATAGTTCCAATCTTTACATTAGAATTAATTTTGGTGTTGTACATTCTATAGATTTTTGAAGAGGAGCATTTTCAATACTTCTAGATTTATTTGAACAATGTTTCTTTTCAGAAAATATCTAAAGCTAATAATTTAATATACCAATTAAAAAAAATACTTGAGTAAACTAGGAAAAATTATTTCATTATTTTCTTTCAGGAAAGATGCAGTATATTTACTGAATACTTTATGTATATGACATTATCATAAGCATAATGAATAAATGAAGACAGAAAATTTCTCATTAGCCCTCAAAAATTTTCTCATGAAGAAGATTCTATACATATATATATATATTATATTGCATATATTATATCAATTATATCATATTATATTCATAATATATATATTATATACTATATATGTTATATATATCTATATAAAGATATATCTTTTTGATATTTCTCCTAGCAATCTTGATTCCAGCTTGTGATTCATCCACCCTGGTATTTGCATGATGTACTCTGCATTTAAGTTAAACAAGCAGGGTGACAGTATACTTGTCACCCTGACATTCTCCTTTCCCAGTTTGGAACCAGTCACTTATTCCATGTTCAGTTTTAACTGTTGCTTCTTGGCAAGCGTACAGGTTTCTCAGAAAACAGGTAAGGTGGTCTGGTATTCCCATCTCTTTAAGAACTTTCCACAGTTTGTTGTTATCCACATAGTCAAAGGCTTTAGTGTAGTCAGTGAAGAAGAAGTAGATGTTTTACTGGAATCATTAGAAAATTTCTCTATGATCCAACAAATGTTGGCAGTTTGATCTCAGGTTCCTCTGCTGTTACTAAATTTGTATTATACATCTGGAAGTTCTCTGTTCATGTACTGTTGAAACCTCACTTGAAGGATTTTGAGCATAACCTCAGTAGCAAGTGAAATAAACACAACTGTACTGTAGTTTGAACATTCTTTGACATTACGCTTCTTTGGGATGGGAATGAAAACTGACCTTTTACAGTCCTGTGGCCACTGCTGAGTTATCGAAATTTGCTGACATATTGAGTGTGACACTTTAACAAGAACTTATTTTAGTATTTTAATTAACTCAGATGGAATTCCATCACCAAAACTGGATTTGTAAGTAATCAGTTTAGTTCAGTCACTCATTCATGTCAAACTCTTTGCAACCACATGAACTGCAGCACCCCAGGCCTCCCTGTCCAACAACAACTCTTAGAATTTACTCAAACTCATGTTCATTGAGTCAGTGATTGCTACTCAACTCATCCTGGGTCATCCGCTTCTCCTCCTGCCTTCAATATTTCCCAGCATCACGGTCTTTTCCAATGAGTTGGTTCTCCTCATTAGGTGGCCAAAATATTTGAGTTTCAGGTTCAGCATCAGTCCTTCCAAAGAATATCCAGGACCGATCTCCTTCAGGATGGGCTGGTTGGATCTCCTTGCAGTCCAAGGGACTCTCAAGAGTCTTCTCCAATACCACACTTCAAAAGCATCAATTCTTTGGTGCTCAGCTTTCTTTATAGTCCAACTCTCACATCCATACATGACTACTGGAAAAACCATAGCTTTGACTAGACGGACCTTTGTTGACAAAGTAACGTCTCTGCTTTTTAATATGCTGTCGCTGGTCATAACTTTCCTTCCAAGGGGTAAGCATCTTTTAATTTCATGGCTGCAATCACCATCTGCTGTGATTTTGGAGCCCCAAAGATAAAGTATCTCACTGTTTTCACTGTTTTCCTATCTACTTGCCATGAAGTGATGGGACTGGATGCCCTGATCTTAGTTTTCTGAATGTTGAGCTTTGAGCCAACTTTTTCACTCTCCTCTTTCACTTTCATCAAGAGGCTCTTTAGTTCTTCTTCACATTCCAGAATGTCTAGCTCTAGGTGAGTGACCACACCATCAGGGTTATCCAGATCAAGAGCTTTTTTGTATAGTACTTCTGTGTATCTCTGCCACCTCTTCTTAATCTCTTTTGCTTATGCTATTTCCTTACTGTTTCTGTCTTTATCATGCCCATCCCTGCTTGCAGTGTTCACTGGGTATCTACAATTTTGTTTAAAAGACCCCCAGTCTTTCCCATTCTATCGTTTTCCTCAACTTCTTTGCTCTGCTCATTCAAGAAGATCTTCTTACCTCTCCTTGCTATTCTCTGGAATTTGGCATTCTGTTGTGTATATCTTTTCCTTTCTCCCTTGCTTTTTGCTTTTATTTCCTTAGCTATTTGCAAAATTTCCTCAGACAGCCACTTTGACTTCTTGCATTTATTTTTCTTTGGGGTGATTTTGGCTTCAGCCTTGTGTACAGTGTAATGGATATCCATCCATAATTCTTCAGGCATTCTGTCTATTAGATATAATCTCTTGGATCTATTTGTCACCTCCACTATATAATCATAAGTAATTTGATTTAGGTCATACCTGAATGGCCTAGAGGTTTTCCCTACTTTCTTCAATTTAAGAGTGAATGTTGCAATAAGAAGTTCATGATCTGAGCCACAGTCAGCTCCAAGTCTCGTTTTTGCTCACTGTATAGAACATCTTCATCTTCAGCTGCAAAGAATATAAGCAATCTGATTTTTGTACTGACTATCTGGTGATGTCCATATGTAGAGATGTCTACTGTGTTGTTGGGAAAGGGTGCTTTCTATGACCAGTGTGTTCTCTTGACAGAACTCTTAGTCTTTGTCCCGCTTCATTTTGTACTCCATGGCCAAACCTACCTGTTACTCTAGAAATCTCTTGACTTCCTATCTTTGTATTCCAACCCTCTGTGAGGAAAAGGACTTGTGTGTGTGTCTGTGTGTGTGTGTGTTAGTCTAAGAGGTTTTGTAGGTCTTCATAGAACTGATCAACTTCAGCTTCTTCAGCATCAGTCGTTGGGGCATAGACTAAGATTACTGTGATGTTGAATGGTTTGCCTTGAAAACAAATGGAGATCATTTTTTGTTTGTTTTTGAGATTTTACCCAAGTACTGCATTATGGACTCTTTTATTCACTGTGAGGATTACTTCATTTCTTCTAATGGATTCTTGTCCACAGTAGTAGATATAATGGTTATCTGAGTTAGATTCGCCTATCCTTATCCATTTTAGTTCACTGATTACTAAGATGTCGATGTTCACTCTTGCCATCTCCCATTTGATCACATCCAAATTTACCTTATTACATGGACCTAACATTCCAGATTCCTATGCAATATTGTTATTTACAGCATTGGACTTTACTTTATCCACCAGACACATCAACAACTGAGTATCATTTTTGCCTCGGCCCAGCCTCTTCATTCTTTCTGGAGCTATTAGTAATTACCCTCTGCTCTTCCCCAGTAACATTCTGGACACCTTCTGACCTGGTGGGCTTATCTTCTGGTTTCATGTTTTTGCCTTCCCATACTGTTTATGGTTTTCTCACAGCAAGAATCCTGGAGTGGTTTGCCATCCCTCTTTCAGTGAACCACGTTTTGTCAGAACTCTCCACTTTGACCCCTCTATCTTGGTATCCCTAGATGGCATGTTTCATAGCTTCAGAGTTACACAAGCCCCTTCGCCATAACAAGGCTGTGATCCATGAAGGGGAAAACAGGTTTAACCAGTTTAAAATTCTAGAAGAAGGTGAGTTCTGATATTTTACCATAAAGACATGTCAGATTTGGACATGTTAAAAAGAAACAAAATGAATTATATAGTGGAGAGGAAAATAAAAAAGAAAGAGAAGTGCAGAGATCTATAATGGATTAATTCTCTTTTAGGTTGGTAATTAAAAATTCTCTGTATATTTATGCCAGTATTTTCTAAATTATTGATGCTCCAAATTTATATCTTACATAGTGTATGTGAAAGATGTTGCCCTGGTTGTTTCCATGAGTATCTCCAGTTTATTTATATTCTAAATGCAGTTGTTTTATTAAGCTAGCAATTGAATTGCCATCCTTGGAAAGACTTAGTAATTTTATCTAGTA